TAAAGTGGCCTTTTTTTAAGGATGGCAGCCAGTGACTAGTGGAGTTGTACATGGATCAGTGTTGGGAACACAACTATTCACATTATACACTACCAATCTAGACAAAGGAACTGAGGACATTGTTGCTAAGTTTACAGATGACACAAGGATAGGTGGAGACACAGGTAGTGTTGAGGAAATGGGGAGGCTGGAGAAGGACTGGACAGCCTAGGAGAAGGGCAAAGAAGCAGCAGTGGAGTACAGTGTGGGAAAGTGAGGTTATCCACTTTGGTGGGAGGAATAGAGGCATAGACTGTTTTCTAAATGGGGAAAAGCTTTAGAAATCTGAAGCACAAAGGGACTTTGATGTCCTAGTACAGGATTCTCTTAAGGTTAACATGCAGGTTCAGTTGGCAGTTAGGAAGGTAAATGCAATGTTAGCATTTATTTCAAGAGGATGAGATGAGCAGAGACGTACTGCAGAAGCTATATAAGACTCTGCTCAGACCCAATATGGAATACTGTGAGCAATTTTGGCTCCGTACCTTCGGAAGGATGTGCTGGCATTGGAGAGATGTCTAGAAGAGGTTTACAAGAATGATCCTGGGGATGAAGAAATTGTCTTATGAGGAATAGTTGAGGATTCTGCATCTGTACTTGCTAGAGTTTAGCAGGTTGAGGGATCTCATTGAACCTTACAGGATATTGAGAGCCCTGGACAGAGTGGATGTGGGGAAGATGTTTCCGCTAGTGGGAGAGGCTAGGACCCAAGGGCACAGCCTCAGAGTGATGGCATTACCCTTTAGAACTGAGATAAAGAGGAATTTCTTCAGCCAGAGAGTAGTAAATCTGGGGAACTAATGTCACAGAAGGCTGTGGAGGCCAAGTCATTGAGTGTATTTAAGACAGAGATGTATAGGTTCTTCATTAGTAAGGGGATCAAAGGTTATGGGGATAAGGCAGGAGAATGGGCTTGGGAAACATATCGGGCATGATAGAATGGAGCAGAAATGATGGGCTGATTGTCCTAATTCTGCTCCTATATCTTACAGTCTTTGGTCTGCTTGAATTTAATCCATTTTCATCGATCCTTCAAAACTTGAGTCCTCTGAGAAATGCTGAACGTAAAGTTTTTTTTTACATCACTCATTCACAATTTATCTCCTGGATTTCAATCATGAAAGTTGACACCAGGGTGTAGTACTCACCAGGGGGCATAGTACTCACCAGGGTGTACTACTAGCAGATGGTGACCATAGGAAAGGAAGATGGAAAGGTGGGAGAGACTGTAACAACAGTGAAAGGGAGAGAATGACAAAGCAGAGCTGTAACAATGGATAACAGAGTAAAAGAGAGAGACAGAGAGAGCATATAGAGGATACTGAAACATAGGATCAAGGCAGAGAGTTGTGAGAACAGGAGGGAGAGAAGAAGTTGTGTGGTGTGATAGTTTTGGGAATGAATGGATGGTGAATGAATGCAGTGGGAAGAAAAGGCAAAAGAATCAAATGGAGGAGTACGAGAGATGGTTCGGATGAGAGGGGAACACGTGTCCGAATGAATTGAGTTGGAAGCCAGAGAGACACAGAGATGAATTCCAAACAGAAAACATAAAAGGATCAAGATTGGAACAGGAGAAAGAGAAATGATTCAGAGAGACTGAGTGAAATAGGCAAACACACATATACAAGTAGGTGGGATAAAATGCTGGATAGTTGAGAAGGAGACAAGGAGAGATCATGGATCTTTCTGCTGAGCTGCAGCATCTTTCCTGTAGGTGGCAGCTTTGTTCAAATTTACTGGAACCACCTGAGAGGGAGCGACCAGGAGAAAACAATTGTCAGCTGTCTTGAATTGACCTCCTGGCCCTGCAGCTTTTCAAGTTAGTGCAGTACTAACTGTTGAATAAATGTGTCTTTGTTTCAAAACAATAAGGCAACAAAGATTCTTAGCAGATGATGTGCAGCTGCTGCTGGTCTGTTCATATGAAAATGTCAAATATGGAAATCTTGAAGATTAAGGGTAACCCCGCATTGATTATTGGAGTGCTATTGATGTTATTGTTTTCAGATGGGAGGGGTGTGTGCAGGGATGGCAAAGATTATGGTCAATCTCTCGCCCCCTCATTGACGTCCCAATGGAAGCCAACCAAACAATACAATAGTCTAGTGTTACATCAAAGGGAACTGACAGTGTGTGAAACACCATTGTTCTGTATGGTGCCCATACATATTGTTCTCATCAACAGCACATGTGGAAGCAAAATAGCAAATAGCTTGCTCACTATTGGGTCAGGTATTACAAATATTATGAATAACTCAGGCACGGACGATCGCTCGTTCTGCTAAAGTGACAACTGAGCCCCTCAAACTGGACCAGCGGGGTCTGATGTCAGGAAATTAACACTGCCTCTCTTACTGCAACGTAGCAAAATCGTGGGGGCTTCTCTTTATCCCCCACAGCCCTTAAGATGGTGATGAGCCAGGTTTCTGGAACTGCTGCAGTCCCTGCACTAAAGATACTCCAAGTCTAGTGAGGGATTTCCACGATTTTGACACAGCAATGACAAAGGGAATGACGACACATGTCCACATGGCCTGAGATTTAGAGAAGGAAAGCAGCTACCAGAGGTCACTGGAGAGCAGCGTAGTGCAGAAGACCCAGTTGGCCATGCCCTTCCCTGATCAGATGGAGCACGACCCATTGAAGGTCCTCAGTGCCAGTACAACTTGGATCAGCAAACTCAGAACGGCGTTGGGTGGCATTCAATAGTTCTGAGAGTCTGGAAAAGAATCTCTTGTTTTAAGGGGAAGATAACTGACTGGGTTAATGGTACACAGGTTGGCGGACAGTGAACATGTCAAGAGTTTATGAGACACTGATGTCATATTTCCGGGCATAGTATTGGCAGATTCCAGGGCACAGGACTGGGTGGTACATCAGTGCCCAACAGCCAGGGGCCAGGGCTCTCAAAGGCTCGCAGTGTTCAGGTCAGGGGCTGACCACCCCAGGTATCTGTCACTGCCCCAGCTGTATCGTCTTATTCCCAGACACTGGGGCAGTCCGCTGCTACCAGTCTACCTTTCAACAGTTGTGCACCAAACCAGTTCACCAAATTGAAAACCAAAATTAGGTTGGGCGGCCGCTGCAACGAAGGTAGAAATTACAAGCAAAGCAAGGTTTTGAGTCGGGCTGTCTGAACAGGTCTCTGACCATCACATCCTGAGATTCAGATGCAGCAAGACAAGGAGGAAGCTCTTGTGAAGCATCAAGTCCAGTCTGGGGCAATTCGGGCTGAATGGCCTGTGTAACCTCTGCATCGTTGTACGCCTGCCCTGGCTTCATTCCCCATCATTCAGCTGTTCTTCTGCAAGCAGTTAGTGACAGGTTTGATAAACTTTGTGGTTTTCCCAATCGGAATACGGTGCGGGGAGAAGGACTGATATGGGACTTATTGATGTGAGATGATGGTGGCACTTTTGTATCTCAGTGCCTTGCCACATTGGTATCTGTCGGTGGAAAATGGCGCAAATTTCTCCTGGCGGCTTGCCAACAAGGCCTTAAATGGTCTTAAGGTGCAATGAAGAGTCAATTAACGATTAATCTCATGTTTTTGTTTTGAGCAGATGACTGCGTGTGTCACTGAACTCAAACAGGTTTTACCCCTGCTTTAAATTATACTTCTGCTGCTACTTAGGGTCTGTCTTAAAGGGGAAGATTGGTTCACAAATAATCTGCTCAGATTCTGGCCTGCTTTTTATTCATTTGTTCTCAAACATAGAGTCATACAGTGCGGAAAGAGACCCTTTGGTCCAACTCATCTGTGCGGGCCAGACAACGATCTCTGACCTAAGCCCATTTGCCAGCATTTGGCCCATATCCCTCTAAACCCTTCCTATTCATATACCCACCCAGATTCCTTTTAAATGTTGTAATTGTACCAGCCTCCACCACTTCCTCTGGCAGCTCATTCCATACACGCACCACCCTCTGTGTGAAAAAGTTGCCTCTTGTGTTCCTTTCAAATCTTTGCCTCCCACCTTAAAACTATGCCCTCTAGTTTTGGACTCCCCTGGCCTGGTAAAGAAAAGACCTTGGCTATTCACCCTATCCATGCCCCTCATGATTTTATTAAGATCACCCCTCAGCCTCCGATGCTCCAGGGAAAATAGCCCCAGCCTATTCAGCCTCTCCCTTTTGCTCAAACCCTCCAACCCCAGCAATATCCTCTCAACATAATCTTCAGAAAAGGACATTTACCCGAGCAGTGATGATTGATATCATTCGGGCTGCTGTTACATGGTGGATAATAAATTCAGCTTTGTGAACTGTGAACTCATTACATCATGGGGAGGCGATAACAAGGTGTAGAGCTGGATGAACACAGCAGACCAGGCAGCATTAGAGGAGCAGGAAAGCTGATGTTTCGGGTCTGGACCCTTCTTCAGAAATGGGGGAGGGGAAGGGGGCTCTGAAATAAATAGAGAAAGAGGGGGAGGCGGTGATAGAAGGTGGATAGTGGACCAGATAGGTGGAGAGAACCCTACAACCCAATGGTCTCAATGTGGACTTTACGAACTTCAAAATCTCCCCACCCCGACCTCATCCCAAGACTGCCCCCCTTCATCCCCGCCTCCTTGACCTGTCCGTCTTCTCTCCAACCTATCCGCTCTTCCCACCTCACTGACCAACCCCACCCCACCTGCTACCTACACTCACCCCTACTAGCTTCATCCCCACCTCCTTGACCTGTCCGTCTTCTCTCCATCTGCCCGTTGATTGTCAGGAAAAACCCATCTGGTTCACTAATGTCCTTTAGAGAAGGAAACTGCCATCCTTACCTGGTCTGGCCTACGAGTGACTCCAGACCCACAGCAATGTGATAGACTCCTCACTGCACTCTGGCAATAACGGATGGGCAATAAATACTGCCTAGCCAGCGATGCCCTCATCCTGTGAATGAATAAAAACATTTACTCAAACAGAACTCCTTTTATTCTTCACTGTTCCTCTCTCCGCAGAATCAGTGTTGAGCTTTGTGGATGACATTGCCTCTGGATCCAAGACTCCCTGTGTGATGTTGGGAAAAGTTCCAGACAAAGTTTCAAACTCAATATCTTTGATCATCAGATGCCTGGAGCCTGATACTACGTATATGTAAGTAGATTCTCGGCACATTCTAGCAAGGCCTTGTTTTTGCAGGAACGCTCTCAGAGTGCAGGAAACAGCGCTATACGTTGCTCCTTTAGAAAACGAGAGAGAGTGGATGTTCAATGGGTTCAATTAGAATTCATATCCTGCTCACACAAATGGCGTAGTGGTATACCAGGTCGTGCTCTGGGGACCCAGTTTCAAATCCCAGCATGGCAGATGGTGGAATTTGAGTTCAATAAAACAAAATCTGGAATTTAGAGTTTAATGATTACCATTATTTATGTTGTCATTTGTCGATAAAATCTATGCAGCTCGCTCGTGTCCCTTAGGGAAGGAAACTGCCATCCTTGATTGGTCTGGCCTACATGTGACTCCAGACCCACTGCAATCTGACTCTTAACTGCCCTCTAGGTGGGTAGCAATAAATGCTGGCCTGGCCAACTTGACCAACATCCTGTGAATGAATAAAATATTTTTTTAAAAAAGGACGATAGTCTTCCTCAAACTTTTGGTTGTTCGAGCTTTTTAATGTGGAATAAATTTGATGATCTCAACAAGCAGCCGTTGCTACTAAATGAGGGCTCGTGCCCAAATTTGCCGATGGAATACAGTTGTGGGATATGGAAGACATGCAAGTGTAGCAAGGTTGCTTCATTCCAGGTTCAGTCGGATTCTACCGTTTAGACTAACCTGGAAAACTGGGATCCTGATTGATGCACGCAATGTTCACAAGGATAATAACCACACCTCATAGTTATGTAGTGGAGACACTGGAGATGGTGTCTGCAATGACCACGTCTTCATAGTTTATCCCAGAGACATTTCCAACGCTTAAACCCGCTTCAACTGCGATGAACATCACTTTTGAAATTCTAAAACGAAAAGTGTAACTTCAGGTTCTTTTTCCTTAAAAGCCTGGTCATTGAAAACAAAATAAAATGTCATCAGGGAAGGTGATCTTTAAGGTGCTGATTTTTCTTTTGTAAAGACACAATTAGGTCCCTGAGGACATTGATGGAAGGAAACCTACCCTACGTCACCCTTGTATGGTTCAAGTCTCACACCAGTGTGGTTAGCCATTATTAGCCACGGGTGAAGTCTGTCTGGGTTTGAGAAATGTGGGCTGCGGTGAATTGTGTGGCAGAATTGGAGGTGGAGCCCAACGAATCCCATCTCCATGTTGAGAGCATCTCTCATCATCTTTGACAAGGAGCGAGACCAGTTTGGCAATGGTGGGTTGCCAATTTATGGATTTGTAGCTTGTTAGAAACCTGATGAAGGCCACAGTTCGCCTCATTAATATGCGGCTCCCCATCTTCCCCAGAGGCGCTGAGAAAGCTGGACATTGAGAATTCTGGTTGGAGCCACCAGAGCAGGTACCTGGTGACTTCAGCTCGCTGCTGGCTGTGAGGGGCCTCCATGATGCTCAGCGCCAAACTGCATCATCTCAGGACCCGATCGGTGGGCACCAGTTTCATGCCCCTTGTCAAGGGGCATTGGCATGTGACGCAGGCCGACGCCTCGGGATCACCGCAATGCCTCTCCCATCCGTGTTCAGGCTGTTCCAGGAAATACAGACCTGCATTGCAGAGCACATCAGCAACCAGCATTGAAAGGCGCTTTGCAGACGCCACTGATCATCGAATCATAGAATGCCTGCAGTGCAGAAGCAGGCCATTTGGCCCATCGAGGTGGCACTGGTCAAAGAGCATCCCACCCAAGGATTGGAATAGGCTGTATCTCAGAGCTGCTTGCTTGCTTGCTGTCTTAGCACTCGGTGCCTCCAGGCTTCACAGGAAGGGCTACCAGGAACGAGGTTCCAGAGACTGGGGGCCTCGCTGACGTGGAGAGGCACAGCTGGAAGCCACTGGCCAAGGGGTGTTCCCCATCACCTTCCATCATGCTGGCAAGTAAAAGTACATCATGGGGAAGAAAATGGCTGTTACCGCTCCAGAACAGGGTGGGGGCTGTAGTACCTAGCGATGTGAGACCCTCTCAAGGGAACACAGACTGATTCCCTATACAGGACCCGGACCTGCAGGGTCCCAAATCCCTGGCCATCCCAATGCTCTGGCTCCCTATGAGCTGGCACCCGTCCCCGCTCCACACAGCGCTGACCACCTCATTCACACCAGCGCAGAGGCCAAGGAAGGAATAGGGATGGTTTCGGGCAGGGGACAATGCTACCAGCAGTTCCCACTGCCCCGGATGTGCCTCGTTCACATGCTGCAGAGGGTTCTCAACATAGACATCTATCCACAGTACAGCCTGTTTGGACACAGAGCTAGGCATCATGTTGGCACAGTTCCATTCAGGGGCCCCAAACAAACTGATGTGGTGGCAAAACAATTTATACAAACGGGAGAGTTTGTGTACAGCGGGTTCTCACCGGTGCTATCAAAGTGCTATAAATAGGTTTTATTTCTGTCTCTCCCTCCCACTGCCTCACAGTGTCGTCTCTGATTCCACAGCTGGGATGGACGGAGCTGGCTTGGCAGCGGATGGGCCATGAAGCTTTGGTAGGGCGTCCCCCTCCCCAGCCCATATGTGCTGAGGGTCTTCCTGCTGAACCCTTCCCAGCCTGAATTCCCAAAGCTCAAAGGGAAGTAGCTAGTGTGGAGCTGGAGGGCCCAGCCACCCTTGGAATGGAGACTTTTGAGGAACCAGTATGTGGTTCCTCCTCCAGCTGCAAGCCTCCTGGCACTGCCCTGTCTCCTTGCGAGGAAGAGGCACTTGGAGTTCTCGCCAGGTTTTCCCCCCATCTCCTGTTGCCACAGTTTCCGTCCTGAGGGCCAGTGGCTGGGCTGATGGAATGCAGTGGTATGAGCATATCTCCAGCAGACCCTGACTCTCCATGACAGTCACCATCCTGTTTATGGAGGACACCACAGGGTCCCCTCCTGCCCGAAGCTGAGTTGGTACCTGATCTCTGGCAGCCTTCCGAGTGCCAGCAGCCTGGGATGTTTGCCCCTCAGCCAGCTGCAGAGCTGGCACGGGGAGGGGCTCACCAGGCTGCACTGCCGCATTCTCGAAAGCCTAACATTCCCACCAAGGTGTCGGTGTCGGGGCCGGTGGTGGGGCACAGGGTGCAGCTTTGCCGTCCCTCCCACACCGCGGCGTCGCTGCTCTTGTCCTCAGAGGCAACAGCTTCTGACAGAGCAGGTCCTTTCACCGCAGAGGTAGTGGAGATTCTGCTGGCCAGGGTAGAGAGATGGTATTAGGACCAGCGGCTAGGACTGATGCCATTGAGGGATACGGGGTTACTGAGAGAGTTGCAGTGGAGTGAAGGGTGGTATTTACTCAGTTAACAGGACATACGTACCTCAGCGTCCCCTCAGGAGTGGTCCTACCAAAGAGGAGCCTCATGTTAGGCTCCGCTCCGCTCCTGCCCTCTCCAGGAAGGGGAGACATTGGGTGTGGTGAAAGCGGGTGGCGCACATGTTAGTGCCAGTGGAGGGTGGGGGGGGTGGGGGTGCGGAGGGCAAGGTGGTGACGTGTTCCGAGGGAGTGGGGAGACAGCGCGGAGACCTTGCGAAGTTGGTGCTGAAAGGCTCCAGAAGTTTAGAGCCAAGTGAGGCAATACGTTGCAGCCAGTAGTGAGAGTGGAAGAGCAAGAGACTTGCTGGGAGGTGGGTACAGTACCAGAGATGGAGTGAGCATGTGAGGTGGCACAGAGAGAGAGAGAGAAAGAGAGCGTGCTTACCCTGGTGGAGAAGATCATTGCTGGCCATTCCTGTGGATTGTTGAGACGGCACTGAAATGGGAGCAGGCTGGCCGCCTCTGCCAGGAAGAGGACACCCCTCGTTCACATCATCATCTCCATCAAGACCTCCAGATCCCTGTTGGTGAACCATGGTGCCGTCTTTCTCTTCTTCAAACTCTTCAGATTCTGTTTGTCAGTGGGCAGTACAGCTCTGGAATGCCAGTGCCTACCCAAGGGGCAAAGCAAGTTCTTTTTTATATCGTTGGCACGGGTGCCAGGGAGGCTGGCCATTTGATGGATGCCCATTGAAAGCACAAAGTAAAATGGAGCTCAAATCAAGCACGAGGATGCTATCGGGGAAGGGTGAGTCTTTAATGAAGAGAGTTTGGTCTGTATAGCGAGAAGTCTCACTGGACCTGGCAGCAAAAATCCCCCCAAAAACCGTGATGCGGATCAGACTTAGCCAAAAAAAAAATGCATTAGATTGAGCCCATTAAGATTGGTGTGATGAATATACAATGAAGTCAATGGAAATGAAGGGAGTGGTCAACACTGACCGAGCAGGCATTTTTTCAGTCTCCTATTGGATGTAATGGGCTTTAAGCAGCTGTCCCATTTGACTGTAAACTGAGCCTCTGATCCCACATCCTCTCCACCACGAGCATCGCCTATTTGCTCCTCTGTAAAATCACCTTCTAAATCAGTCCATCTATTGCTGCATCACTCATCCACACTTCTGTTGCCTTCAGACTCAACTATTCCAATGCTCTCCTGACCACTTTGCATCTTCCAGAAACTTGAACTAATCCAAAACTCTGTTGCCACATGCACCAAATGCCATTGACTCGTCAACTCGGTGTTCTTCGATCCGCGTTAGTTTTTATTCTGGCAATGCCTTGAGTTTAAAACTTGCATCCACATTCTCAGTCCTCCCTAACTCGATAACTTCCTCCAGCCCTACAACCCTCTGAAAACTCTATGTTCCTTCAACTCTGGCATCTGTGCATCTCTGGTTTCCATCAGCCAAATTATTCGTGACCATGCCTTTAGCTATCTTATCCTTACACACTTGAAATTCCTTCCTTAACCTCCATGGACTTCCATTACTGTTACCTCCTTTAAAACACTCCTTAAATCCTTTTCAGAAGTAGGGTCCCCGACCCGAAACGTCAGCTTTCCTGCTCCTCTGATGCTGCCTGGCCTGCTGTGTTCCTTCAGCTCCACACCGTGTTATCTCAGACTCCAGCATCGGCAGTTCTTACTATCTTTCCTTAAATCCTATCTCTTTGACCAATGCCTC